TTGGCAGTTGGAAGATTTGTTAAAGTAGGGGAAGCTATTGCCAATGAAAACTGGGATCTGAAAGAAGAAATAAGTATTGCCTGCATCGAAGCTAAGCAAGCAGGTATGTGACTATTGACTTTTGAAGTTATTTTATTCCAATCTTATTGTTATGGATATGATGATAGATTTATTGTTTTCTTTTGCTTTGTGCTATGTACTGTTTTCACTCACTGCCATCAGCCTGATTGTGATTCATAAGGAGTTTGTTGAAGCATCTCAGTTCCTGGAGCCTTGTTTGTCACTTGTACTTTCAGGGCACCTTGGACTTACTCCTGCAGTACCATCAACCGGGTCTTTCTGGTGTAATGACTTAGTGTATTCCTTCTATCCTCTTTTGACGAAGAACTGCTCCTGTGGGCTGTTAGGACCCGAAATCTTGACAGGAATAGAAAGCCTCATCTTTCTTCCATGGAGTGGCTGGTGGTTTCAAACTACTAACCTTGTGGTTAGCATCCTAGTGTGTAAATCCACTGTGCCACTCCAATTATGGATGCCTAGGCTAGGGCAGCAGCCCTGGTGGCATGATGGTTAAGTGTTTGGTGCTTCAAGCCCACATGTGCAGAAGGAGAAAGACCTGGCAATCGGCTCCCATAAAGATTACAGCCCCAGAGCCCTGTGAGGCAGTTCTACTCAGTAGTACAGGCTCACCACAGGCCAGGCAGGCCTTCTAGGTTCCATGGTTAGCTTTCGTTCTAGCTCTGAAGGGTGGAACTCTTGCGCTCCTCTGGGGAATGGTCTGCCCGCTTGCTATCGCCATGGAAATGTGAGAGACATGGGGGCAAGTGTGGAGCATGCGAGGTCTAGGATCTTCCCTCCAGGAACGCTTTAGTGTACTTGCCTCCATGTAGGAAATGGGATAAAGGTTTCTACTGATCAGTTACTCTGTAGCAGACACATCTGCAGTTGGTGGCCCAGAAACTTAAGAACTGGGTCATTGGAAGGCTACAAGTCGTTCAGCTTCATTAATGTATCGCTGATCCGTTCCTCTCTTCCTAAGTGTTTACTGAGTGCTGGTCTGTGTCGGGGTTCTTCTAGGCTCTAGGATCTAGTTCTGTACAAATGAGCCGGAAGTCTGCCCCGGTGGAGCTTACCTTACAGTAACAACAAAGGACAACAAAGAAAAAAATAAATAAATGTAGCACTTCAAGTGTTAATAGTTTCTTGAAAAAAAAAATCAAGCAAAAGATGAGTTTGAAGCTGTTTCAGGGAGGGGAGGGTGGTGCCTCTCCACTTAGACACTCGTGGCATTTGGAGTTGGACTGTTCTTTGCTGTAGAAAGCGGTCCCCCGCATTATTAAGTGCTTAGCAGCATGCCTGCCTCCTGCCCACTAGATTCCAGGACCGGACTCCTCATCCCTGTTGTGACAACTCAGAATCTGGATATTGCCGGTGTCTTTTGGGGTCCAGTATCTGTGGTTGAGAAATAATGAGATAGCAAGTCAGAGAGACCCTCTGAGGAGGTAATATTTGAGCAGAGACAGCAATGAAGTGAGAGGCCTGCCTGTGTAAATATCTGGAGGGGAGGCCTTCCTGAGTAAATCAGAGAGGGCAACCAGAGCCTACATGGTGTGGGTGTGTGCAGCATGACTGTATATATATTCATTTATATATGAATGACTTCAGTTATGATTCTGTAGATGTTAGGGAGTCATTGAGGAATTCTGAACCCGATGAAATACAGCTTTGTGTTAGAAATTTGTCTGGTGGAGTAGAGGAAATAAACAAGTAAGGGGTGGTTGGGAGATGATTGAGACTAGTGATGGTAAGATTAATATGGAACCTTTACAGTAAACCAGGTTAAACCGAAGCAGTGTTAATAGAGATAAAAGGAGCAGAAAGTGCATAGAATGTTCATTAATATGATTTAATGGTAGGACTTGGTTATTGATTAAAAGGGAGGGAGGACTCTGGGTTAATTCTTGGGCTTTTAGTAGTTATTGATTGGAATATGGGATAGGTTGCCTGGTGGGGGTGTGAGACAGGATATCCTTATTTCCTTTGTCATTTGATTAACGTTGAAATTGCCTACAATAAATGCTGCCTATATATTACAACCATTAAAATAGGAGATGGAAGTAAATAGGCTAGATCTACAGCCCACATTGTTACACTAAGTAGGCATGAAATTTTTCTTGGCACTTCCTGGACACCAAGGCAAATATGTGGGAAACAAAGGGCTGTCTGATCCTCATTGTTGGAAGGAAACAAGTCAGCTTACCAGGAGGAGAGACTTTTTCCTAGCACAAGTACGACAGTCATTACATAATGCGATGGACAGCGGAACTGAAAATGGAGAGGTGGTCTTCATATCACTGTTTCTTATAACAGCCCTCGGTCATAGCCGAGATTGGAGCTTTCTTTCCTTTCCTTTTAAAGAAAGAACAACTTTAGTCCTGTTCATCGTATAGACTCGTGTGTCAGCATTCTCAGTGTGGGGGAAAGGACGTTATATACTGTCCGAGGCTCCCGTAGGCTGTGGCAGTCTACAAATACTGTAAGCGCAAGCAGTTCCATGGGGACTATGGGAGCCATCTGATGTCATGCGTTCTGCAGATAACCTGTCCTTCTCATTTGAAGTGTTGTTGTTTCCATTCCTGAAAGGAACCCAGGTGGTGTAGCTAAGCTGCTAACCACAAGGCCGGAGGTTCAAAACCCCTTTTGGGTGTTGAGACTTTAAATCTTGGCTGGAAGACATCCTGTGAGGCAGTACTGCTCTTGACAACTCCCAGCTATCACCATCCAATAAAGTTCTTAGTACAGCCGTAACTGACCTCATTGTCTAGCAGCAGCCTGACTTTAAATCTCACCCGTCCTATCTAGTATTTTATCTGCTTCCATGAGAATAAACATCCTAATCTTGATTTTTCACTGCTCCACATCCATTGGTCCATCCATTAAAATGCAGATGCTTTTAAGGAAAATCTGTACTTGTCCCCTGGGTTAGTGCATTACTGAGGGTAATGAAACGAAGGACAGTCACAGGAAAAATCACTCCATTATCTATACAGGTATTCAGCTCACTGCCCCGGAGCCCACTGTGACTCTGCTGACCCTATAGGACAGAGTAGACTGCCCCTGTGGGTTTCTGAGATTACTCTTTGCTGGAATAGAAAGCCTCGTCTTTTTCCCAAGGAGCTGCTGGTGGTTTCAAATCGATGACTTTGAGGTGTGCAGCCCATCTATAACCCATAGACCGTGACAGCAAATCACAAAATGGAGAATTGCCAACCAAATTGACACATATTGTGTGAGGGGCACAGTTTGATCCATAACACTTACCTTCAAGGTTAAGGGATGGTCTGGACGTAAAGTGTTGCCTTATTTTCAACCTTGCCTTTCTTGGTAGGTGAGACAATCGCAGCTCTTACAGATGTAACCAGCTTGAATCATCCAGAACCTGATGGCCAGATCACAGTTTTTACCGACAAGACGGGAGTCATAAAGGCCGCACGATTGCTCCTCTCTTCAGTGACAAAAGTACTGTTGCTGGCAGACCGTGTAGTTATTAAGCAGATAATAGCGTCAAGAAATAAGGTACTTGCCTTTCTGATATTTCTGTACTTGTGTACTTGGGTTGTCCAGAAGTGTTTTTTGTTTTTAGGTCAATTACCACTGATTTGGCAATGCTTGTCTGTTATAATTGTTTAGGACTGTACTTGTCTGTACAGGTATAGACAGTCATGTTTCTTCCATACCTGTATGTACATACTGTGCTTCTGAACGCAAAAAATCTTCTCAGAAAACCATTCTCCTGTTGGTTCTTGGTAAACCTTTTCCTTGGGGCCAAAATCCAGGAAGCAAAGCTGAACTGTGACAATGCATGCAACAGGAACCTAGTTGATAAAAATTCTGAATCCATCAGCAAATGGATTATAAACAGTTTATAAGCTTGGGAGGAAATTCGGTTACTGTAACTATATTCTCAGCTATCTGCTGCTATGGAATGTCTGCCTGCAGAGATTAATCTTACTGGATAAAGACTAAATTTAGAGCAAGGATTTTAACTCTTTTGTGCCCAACACTTGTACAGCCCCTTAGATATTAGTGGTGGTCCTTGGTCATCTGGGAGCCCAGGGCATGGTTATTTCTTTCTGTGGTTTTCTAGGCGGAAAGGAGGAAGTCTGCTAGTGAAAGGGCACCTTGGGGAAAGGTTCGAGGAGACACATTTGAGACACTGGATGAGTGACTCTGAGGTGTAAGTTTGAAGGGGAAAAAAGGCAGAGCTGGATTAGGCAGTGTCAGAGGAATAGACATCCTTGCCCTCTTTGAAAGGCAGAGTTTCTGCTCAGTGGTGCTAATTCTGCCTTATCTGTCTTTCTTAGTTGCCTGGACTTCCTGAGCTGCCAGGGCAGATTAACATGCCAAATATCACATCCTCATTAAAACTAAGTAAACACAGGATATCTGTGTTTTCTTTACCTATCGTGGCCCGACTAAAGCCAATGCAGTACTGTTATTTTAGAGAAAAGTCTGAAAATGTGTTCCACATCCATTTCTTTCTGATGTCAGGACAACACGTAGCAGGGTCTGTTGGCTCCACTACAGCTTCATGCTCTCTGTTCACACTTGACTGTCGGAAGCTTCTTGGCAATGCATTGGTTCAACACACGCAGTTCCTGACTGGCCTGTTCGTTTCCTGTTCGTTCAGTCCCAAACCTGCCTTTTAACCCCTCACCCCCAAATGGCCTTCCTGCCACTTTCCTGAGGAGAATGAGGCTCCTTTAGTTTTGTTTCATGGAACCCTTAGGCTTCTGTTTCCCGCCGCTAGTCCTCAGAAGATTTGATGTCTGGCCCTGCCCTTCCACGTGCTCCACATGCTGTTGTGCTCTTCTCTTGAACACCCAGCAGAGATTTCTTTGTTCTTTGCTTTCCACTCTGCGATCAGCCCGAAGCTCTCCACCCTGAAGAACCCAATCATCCCTTAGACAATTCTGCCTTTGGGTCTGCTTGGCTGACCTCCTCCGCTTCTGTCTTCTTTTCCAACTCCTTCTCAGCCTTCCCCTTGAATTGAGATTTCTTGGGTTTTTCTGCCCAACCGTGAGGTCTCAGCCTCTTCAGATCTCTCATCCTGCTGAAAGCCACTGTCCTCTCTTTTGCAGGTGCTCGCCACTATGGAAAGGCTAGAGAAAGTGAACAGTTTTCAAGAGTTTGTCCAAATATTCAGTCAATTTGGAAATGAAATGGTCGAGTTTGCTCACCTAACTGGAGATAGACAAAATGTATGTATTTTTCCCGTTAAAAAAATCTTCAGATCAATGCATTCTTTTATATTTGGATGTAGGGATAATTTTTGAGAAGGTTTGATTGCTTTCTTTGCATATGAACTCTCTAGTGTTGTTCTTGAAAGCCTTTTGTGGATAAACCAGAATAAGGTAAGTAGATCTGTATTCTTTTTTGCAGACATGTAAGAGCTAAGTGTGTTTCTGCCTCACACACTGTTAGCAGTCATATTCACTCTGCCACTGGAATTGAGCCCAACTGGAGTATTTCTTTTTTCTTTTTTTCAAAATCATTTTATTGGGGGCTTGTACAACTCTTATCACAATCCATAAATCCACCCATGGTGTCAAGCACATTTGTACATTTGTTGCCATCATCATTTTGAAAACATTTTCTTTCTAATTGAGCCCTTGCTACCAGCTCCTCATTCCCACCCCCCTCCTCCACCCTTCTTCCCTCATGAGCCTTGATAATTTATAAATTATTTTTTTCATGTCTTACACTGACCAGTATCTCCCTTCACCCACTTTTCTGTTGTCCGTCCCCCTGGGAGGGGGTTATATTTAGATCATTGTGATCAGTTTCCCTTTTCTCCCCACCTTCCCCTTCCCCTCCTGGTATCACTACTCTCGTTATTGGTCCTGAGGGGTTTATCGGTCCTGGATTCCTGTGTTTCCAGCTCTTATCTGTACATGCTCTTGTCTAGCCGGATTTGTAAGGTAGAATTTGGATCATCATAGTTGGGGGGAGGAAGCATTAAAGAACTAGAGGAAAGTTGTATGGTTCATCGGTGCTACACGACACCCTGACTAACTCATCTCTTCCTTGTGACCCTTCTGTGAGGGGATGTCCAATTGTCTACAGATGGGCTTTGGGTCTTCTTATGAGCTTTTAGGAGGCTTTCCATTTGACTCTTCCATTAGAGGCCCAGGCAAATAAACTGGGTTATTTTATATATTCTTGTAACATTTTGTTAAAAGGAAAATATTGTATAACTGGTGAAAACTTTATGTAATTCATATGTTAACATCCAGGAACATATCCATTTTGATTCATTTTCACACTGTCTGTGGCAGCTTTCATGTGACAATGGCAGTGTTTAGTAGTTGGAACAGGGACCACGTGACCCAGAAAGCCCAAAGCATTTACTTACTGGTCTTTTATTAAAAACTCTTGTCAAGCTCTGATATAGATGGTGATAACCACGTAATCGGAGCCCTGGGTTGCCCGGTGAGACGTTCAATGACTCACTGAGATGTCAGTGTGAACCCACTCAGAGACACCCAGGGAGAAAGGCCTGGTGAGCCACAGCCAAAAGGTCAGAGGTCTGAAAACCCTATGGCATGCAGTTCTGCTTGGCAACCTGTTGTGTCCCCAGGTGATGAAGCCCACTTGATGGCAACTGGTTTGGTTTTGGTTTCTTAACCAAGTAATTATTTGGGTATTGATCAAGATTGGATCAGTGGTATTAGGGTATCTTCTGTGATAGCACTCAACTGAGGGCTCATTGAAGAGAAACCCACCCCCTCGAAAAATTCCAAAGCACCAGGCTCGCTTCAGAGTTTATCAGACATGGTTACAAATCATACATGATCCTTGAAAGAATTGCCTTTTAAGCTTCTGTCTTGAAGGAAGTAATAATCAATAGATAGCCTATATAAATAAGTCATTTCTTAACTGATGAAGGTCGGCATGTTGTTTCTGGGTAAGCCTACCATGTGCTCAGAAGGGCATGCGGCTATCAGGTGTGGTGAGCCACCAGAATGTGAGCCGTGTGGTGGCTTCTCCCAGGGTCAGGCCGCAGCAGCTGCTGCTTTCTATGTGGATTGTCCTGATACATTTGATAAACCTTGATTCGGTAATGTTAGGCATTTTCACATCCCTACTGTCACAAATATTTTTAATTTCCACAAAATATTCTATTAAGTATATTTTCTCTCCCCCCCCCACTCTTTTAGGTATATTTTCTACATTTAACATAATCACTTGTTACTTAACAGTTTGAACCGAGTTAACATATCAGTTTATGATTTTTCAGGATTATACCATGCTATGAATGAAGGTATTTTTATATACCTATTATTTAGTATATAAATTGATTTCTGAATCTGTTCTTATTCTTATGGGATAGATTTCCAGAGCTAGAATTCTTGGACTGTCATGTGGACATATCTGAAAGCGTTGGCCTGTATTTTCAGTTAGACTTCTGAGAGAGTAGAATACCCATTTATAGTCCTATCAGCAAGCGAGTGCGTCATCTTAAACTGGTTTCTGATATTGTTGAGTAGATGAGTTTTGGAGAAATGGAGTGTTTTATGTGCTTTCATTTGTAGGATTTGAAAGATGAAAAGAAAAAGGCAAAAATGGCAGCAGCAAGGGCAGTTCTCGAAAAATGTACAATGATGCTTCTCACAGCGTCCAAGGTAGGAAAACCTTTGCTTTGCTGCATTGTAGAATGCGAATTAGAAAGCCTGATAGAAATGTGTCTAACTTATATTTTCACATCTTTCAAAAGATGATGGGAACTTGGAACTTAGGCCCCATAAAGCGTCGGCTCTTTAGAAAGAATGCTGGTGTCCTTCCCGTGCTCCACACAGCAGCTCGTCCGAGTCAGCTGTGAGGGAGCAGCCCACCTGCAGGTGGGCGAGCAGGGGCTGCGGAGCGAGGCCCCCTGGGCGTGGGGGCTGCGGGCTTTTGCAGATCAGCCAGCACACATGCTCCAACAAGCTAGAGTACTTAGGACCTGTTAAGTCACGCAGGTGTATTGTGCCAGCCCTGCATTTGCTCATGCATTTACAACATGTCAGAATTGGGTTGCTGTAGTTTACCACGGACTTAGTCACAGGACATGGCCGTAGAGGCGACCTAAGGAATCTCTAGAGTCCAGGCACATTCTTCTTGACCTCCATTTGTAATACCAACCCAAATTCCTTATTCTACTCTTAACAAAATTTTCACTCTAGAGCTTCTAATTCCAGACAGCAGTTGGCCAGCAACTTGGTGCCATTCGAGCATCAGCTAACATACCTGTCACTGGAAGGCTGTGTCACTGGTAGGTGTGTGCTAGGATCTGAGAAGCCCCAAGGACAGAGGCTTACCAGTGGAGCTTAAGGGGAAGGCTGGGCTCATGTCTAGGCCTTTAGTTTTTCATTTGTATCATTACTTAAAAGGCAAGTTGCATCCACAGACACAATCTTATGTCTTTCCTCATTGTGTTTTAGTTCTCTCACATAGAAAACAAGGTTTTACAATCGTTTTGATTCATGATGGAGATAATAGGCTGTTTTTGTTTTCCCTTCAAAAGGGAACTGATTGGGATGTGAAGATACAGTGTTGCACTTAACCCTGCTATCGCTTTTCACTCACCCTGCTTCCGCTTTTAGTGAGGAGAAGCAGCTGGGTGAGCCAGGGACCCGGGAGATTTTGGTAAAGAACCCTTTTTACTAGCATGACATGTTCTGTGTAAGATTTTGTGTATTAGGATATGGATCAAATATGAAAATGAAAATTCTCAATTTTTTTTGAAGACATGCCTCAGGCATCCTACCTGTGAATCTGCCCATAAAAACAAAGAAGGCGTGTTCAACCGAATGAAAGTGGCCTTGGATAAGGTCATTGACATTGTGACCGACTGTAAACCAAATGGAGAGAATGACATTTCATCTGCCAGTATTTGTACCGGAATTAAAGAATTCAAGGTGAGACTGGGGAAAAAAAATCAAAACTTTTATTTCTTTTTCCATTTTAAAGGAGTGTTCTCTGTACTGTTCATATTTTTGTGTAATGTTTTAAAATAGGTGCTTCACGAAAATAGGCTTATCTCTTTAAACAGTACCTCTACAGACAAACCTAATGTTCAGTAACATTTGCCTTAAAGCAAAGGTGGTGTATACGAAAGGACACAGATACTGTAGTAGCTACCTTGGCCCTGTTTACTAGCCAAGGTAATGGATAGTGACAAGCTATTCATCATCTCTGCTGGGATTCTAACTCCTTTCTCATGCCGTACTCTTGAGATTGTGGTAACGATAAGTAATAGTGTTTATAATTGGAACACACAAACTAAGATTTATTGAGCACTCAGCACATGCGAGGCCCTATTCTGAGTGCTTTCAATGTATGAGCGTATCCATCCAAGAACCTAGGAAGTGAGAACTCTAATTATTGTCCCCATTTTACCATTGAGCAGACTGAAAAACAGATGGAATCATTTGCAGTCTGACTCAGAATTTCCACTATTTTAGAGTGTGACTGCTTGTTAGAAGTCAGAGATGGTAAAATGCCCCTGGGAAATCTTTGGGAAAGGGCAGGAAGATCCTAAAAATCATCAAGTACAATTCCTCTTTTAACAGATGAGGAAACAAAGGCCTGAGAAGGTAGCTACTATGTGAAGGGTTCCCCACTCCTCTAACGGACGTGACTGAGACAGATGGCAGTCCTTCCTGCTCTCTGCACTTGGACTGTTAGTGGTGGGAACCTCCGAGGAGGAACATGGGGTGAAAGGAAGGAAGTCATGGAAAGAACATGTTTTCCTTTCTTTCTTTTTTTTTTCTCCCTCCCCCTTCAAGAACATGTTTTTCAAGGAGCCAGGAACTTAATAAATATCATCTCATTTAACTGTACTTTTAAGTAGATATTATTACCTCTTTTTGAGAGGAGGAAAACTAATTAGTGGTTGTGTTCGTCTGGGTAGACTAGAGAAACAAATCCAGGGAGACTCATATGTGTATAAGAAAGATCTTTACATGCAAGAGCAATTGAATATCGAGAAAACATCCCAGCCCAGTCCAGATCCAGTGCATAAGTCCGATATTAGCCCCTATGTCCTTTGCCAATCTGTAAAGTCCTTTTCAGCCTCACGAAACACATGCAATGACACCAAATGCAGGAAGATCACAGGCCAGTAGGTGGGAAGTCTTGTGGATCCAGTGGCGTTGTGAGCATCTCAGTGCTGGCAGAGGTCTCCATGTAGGTTCTCCACTTGCGAGGCTCTGGCTCCCCTCAGCCTGTCTCCATGTGTCTTGTCAGCTGCAGTGTTTCTCAGGGAGTGAGCTGAGAGACAGAGAGAGAGAGACAGACAGACAGACAATCTCCCACTTCCAAGGGAAGAATACAGGAGTTCCCAGAATCCTCAGGAGAAGGCCATGCCCACACAGAGGACTCATTGGCTATGACCTGATTGACAAGCTAGACTCCACCCCTTGACTCTCAATCCTTTCAAATTGACAGTAGATTATATAACTGCCACAGTGGTAGAACAAAGACTCTTGATTGCAAAGTTCATGACCTTTCAAGTGACATCTCTATTTTATTCCAGAATCTCTTCCTGAGGGAAAAGGCGACAGAGACCTGCTATTCTCTTAAGACTTTTCATTGCTGAAAGGAACCTTAGAGATTATTTTTCTAATTCTCTCCTTTTATTATAAAAGCTAAGAAAAGATATGCCATGTGTAAAGTCAAAAAGTAATTAGAGAAACAAGTAGGATGAGAAGTAGACCAAGCTGTACCAGGCCTCCGGGTTCCGGTCCTGGAGGAGCTGCTGCTGAGCCTTTCCGACCGACCCAGGGCCCTGGACACTGAACAAGCCTCGGCTCTTTCGACAGTGGGTATCTTGCTGGCAGCCTGCTCTGGTTTTGGTGGAGAATATAACCTGCAGAGAGAAAGTGATACTTTCCCATACTCATTACTGTGCACATACAAACTAATCTTAAGAAATTATAAATGAGCAGCTTATAAAAATAAAAAAACCCACTGAATTGCTATCTAAAATGTGTATAGTGTATTTGAAGAGAAAATAAAAAGCTTTAACATAAATGCTATTTGTTCAACATGACTAATTTTTATGTTTTAATTCTGCTTATGTTCTCAAGTTCTCCAACCCTCACTGTTGGTCCCATCTTCTCTTTTCTGCATGTAATTTCCTAGCTTTTCATAAATACCACCTTCTTCCCTATCTAGGTGGTGGTTATTTTTGGAGAGATGACTGAATTGAACCCCCCACATCTTGGATTTGCCCTGTGTTATAGAAAAACAACTTATGTATGGAGAATTAACTTGAAGTAATATTTGTGAAAGGTCTTTAGAGAGTGCTAAACCAGTGTGAGCCACCCAGGTCATCATGTTGATTGTGACCACAATCATAACCATTACTGTTTATAGTTCTTGGCTGGAGTTGTGTCTGACCTATTTCATGGAGGTCGTAGCACAGCTCAGAAAGGTCAGTGAGAGAAAGACTGCACAAGTGAGCGTGTGTCCACCTCACGTTGGAGGAGTTCTGTGTGCAGTGTAGGTGACGTGGTAGTTGTTTCAGGGTGTGGGGAGTGAGATAAGACTGTGGTTTCAGAGGTACATAAGAGTGAGACCATGGAGAGTTTTTGGCCTTGACTCTGTACATGGTGAGGAGCCAATGAGAGGGAAACTTGGGATTTTATAAAAAGTAAACCAGCCACCAGATGGAGGAATCTTTGGTCAGGGAGGTGCTATTGGGGACCAGTTCAGTGACTAGGAACATGCTACCGAATTAATGAAGGAAAACGGGTGCATTTCTTAGTCTCTCCCACACCTATACCTGATACACCCTTCCCCTTGAGCTACACATACACTTGTATTAGGGTGTAACTTTATTTTCAAAAACGTTGCCTAGGCGTTCATCTGATGAATACCATTTACCTGGAGGCTAGCTTATTTTCCCAGCTGGTTGGTACATGCTGATGTTCTCCCTGCTTTGGTACTCACTTGTCTCAGGAACTTGATTATATTAACGACTGTTGGAGTGAAGGCCCTGGTGGCTTTTGGCAGCATGTCCTCCTGGCTTCGTGGAGAACGTAGTCATCACTGGGCACGGTACTTCTCTTGGCCCGCAGACCAGAAAAGACATTGCTGGAGGCACCCTAAGCACTGTCAGCAACCCATTTTGGTTTGAGCCCAAAGTGTGGATTCACAGGACTGTGTATCCATTTTGTTCCCAGATGAATATTGAAGCTCTTCGGGAGGCTTGTTATTTCCAGTCCAAAGAGAACCTGTCTGCAATGTTGGAAGTCATCTTGGAGCACACAGAGAGCTTTACTGATTCGGCCTACACCAGCCACAAGCACAGGGAACGCATCTTGGAACTGGCCACCCAGACAAGGATGGAACTACAGCAGTTAATTTCTGTGTGGATGCAAGCTGTAAGAACTTTTCACATGAAGTCAGTCTTAATTAATAGCTTTCCCTGGTACCGGGAGAAATGTAAAAGCTTCTGTAATCACCAGGGCTGCGAATTTGGTCAGGAGTATGACAAACGAGTCTCAGCCTTCTTTCACTTCTGGCTGTCCAAGGCACCCTTCCCAGGCAGCACTCACAATACTTGTTTCTCCCCCTGGCTGCCCAGGCTCTGTGCCACCCTCACCATCACTAGTTCACACTTGTCCTCCCTCTACCTCCAAACTCACCTCTGGAAAATTCCTTCCCACAATGCTTCTTCAGAGTGAAGAACAGAGGAGTAGATCCCTACCTCGAGGTTCTTGGGACCCGAGTCTTAGTCGGAGCCATTCAGATGTGCACAGTTCTTAACTCTGAGGACAGCTGGTTCACAGCCACAACGCTTTAGGAAACTTGTTGAGGTCTAGATGAAATGAAGGCAAGGGTAGATCCAACTGTCAGGTAAAAGATTTTTCACCCGCACTCAGATTCCTGGTCTAAAATTGGTGGGCAGCCACAGATAGGCCCTTAAATAGGCTACTGATATGCTTGAAACGTGGGAGGTTATTTGGTGAAGCGTGGTTAAAGTTGGCAGAAAGGAGATGCCACTAGAAATGTGAACCTAATCTCTTACAAAGGGTGGATGACAACATTGTAATTGAGAGAGGACAGGGACACTGCTTATTTATTTCTTAGGCCCATAGACACCCCCCCCCCCCAAAGTATTTAACATTTAACATGGTTTCTGACATAAAGCTCTGCTAGACCTGATCTGGAAGTCAGGAATGAAAGCTTTGGCAGGGAGACTTGAGAATAAAGATGAATATGGTTAAGTGTGAAGAAAGGAGCAGGCCACGTCCTTGCAAATAGGTTGATTTATGAGTGAAGAGTACATTTGAATCTCAGATTTCTCTGATGCTTGTTGGCATCATCAGAGAGCACATGGTCATATGAGCTGGAGCCCATGTCCAAAGCAGAGTGCTGTCAGGGACGGCAGCAGTACTTTGTGTTGAATTTGAATTAGTGGTGGGGTATCTAGTCTGAGCTGAAGATTGCATGTGTGTGAAAGATTTTCAGTTCAACATTCAGTAATAAAGAGTTTCTTGTCGTCACAAGAAATGCTCTCTGAATTGGCAGTCTGATGCTTAGTCAATACTTAGATTTGCAGTCATTGCCTTTGACAACTTTTACAAGCTCTCAGTTCTTTGATTCTGCACTTCAGATATATTGCTCTAGCTCATTCATCTTCTAGGTGCACACTGAGTGCCTTGTGACTGCCAGCCATTGGAACCCTAAAGATGAGTGAGATAGAACATTGGCCAGCGAGATTTGCAACCCAGCAGATTGTTTGCAAGGGTAAAATAACACAAAGATTTATAAGCACCCCGAAGGAGAGAGGGTAGAGACTTTGAAGTAGAGGGTAGAGACTTTGAAGGGGCTTTGAAGTAGGACATAGTTATATTTAGGAAAAGGAATCAAGACAGCTAATGAAGGTATTGAGATTAAACTCAAATTTATTCATTGAAAGAATTGAACCCCTATTGCCTGCCCTGCGGTGTAACTGCTTAACAGAATCCAGCCTGCCCTTCATCGAGCTTCCATGGGCTTGGTGGGAAAGACAGTTTCAACAAAAAGTCTTAACAAATCAGCGTGTAGTTGCGAAACTAATGATTACCTAGAGAGAGACGAGAGGGCCAAGAGAAGGTCCATTGTAGATGGGATGGTCTAAGAAGACCTTGAGAAAGACATTGATGTAAGATGAAGGTGAACATTGCTTTCACTTTTAACTAGGTTTAGAGGAACGGGAAGAACATTCCTGACAGAAGATAAAATAGGTTCATTTTAGTCATTTATCAGAGAAAAGTAGAATTCATCTATTGGTGCGGGAAAATGTAGCTAACTTGGTAAAATAATATTTTCTACTCAGCTTTTCTTATAGTTCACAGAATGATATTAAAATTGTATTAGACTTTGTAGCTCAAGTAAAATTGATATTACCAATGAAAAAATTTTTAAGTACAGTAACATCGCATGTGTACTTTTCTAAACCTTTAGCAAAGCAAGAAGACAAAAAGCATCGCTGAAGAACTGGAACTCAGTATCTTGAAAGTCACTCACAGCCTCAATGAGCTTAAGAAAGAAGTAAGTGTAGTTTGTTATCTCTTTAATTCGTTGCCAGTTTCCTGATGGAAGGTGACTATGGAATGCCTGAGCATTGTGTCCCTGTGTCCAGAAAGTGGTTTCACAACTGCCCCTTAACCTGATTATGTTGAAGGATCACTTTGTTAGCGCCGTCTTTCTCACAGCTCGAATCACAAGGTCTGTCATGACATGTCAGTGCTGCCACTTGCTGTGATGCCTCTTGCAAATAGTTTTTAGAATAACTTGTTAAATTAATGAAGTTTGGGAATTGGTTACTTTAAAAGAAAAACAAAAAGATGGTTGCAAGTTTGACCTCTCAAGTAATAGAGGATCCAGTGGTCACTTAAGCCAGGGGGTGGCCAAATATGTCCAAGTGACCTGTGTTTTTAAATAAAGGTGTTCGGACACAGCGGCGTCCAATTGTTTGCATATTGGCCATCGTCTCTTTTGTGCTATAACACTGAACTGGATAACTGCAGCTGCGACCTTGGAACTTGAAAAGTTTAAAATGTTTATTATCTGTTTATTACAGGGAAATTTTGTAATTTTGTTTACAAATTTTGTAATAATGTGTATTAGAGGGAAAATTTATCATTCCTTCCTTAAGTCATAAAGCAATCTCAGTTCAAAAGTTAGACTGCTTCTTGCGATCTATTCATTAATATGCATTCATCTTCATTCAGTTGTGGGACTTCTCCTCGGGTCCTCACTCCCCTGCTTCAACTAGGACTTTGGGGAAAGATGATTGTCTTTCTCCCCTTCTCATGTCCCACAAGCTCCACGCTAGCAGCTCTTGTGGTGGCACAAGATAAGAAGAGAGGAATTAGGGAATCAGAACCTTCTTAGTGACTGGTCCCTTATAAGATGGTTTGGTGGCCAGCGGGTCTTGAAAGCGCTCTCTGGTGGCTATTTGGGTAGGTTCTTCAGAGACTGTCTTGTTGGTGCCCCCTCAGCCCACCCCAACTACAACTCCCATATCACCTTGCTGCTTCTACCTCTCCACCTTGCCGTATGCCTGGAGGTGAGGCTCACGGTGGCCACTCTAGTATTGGCTCTTCCGCTTCACCAAAAGCCTCTCTTCTCCTTTGTCTCTAATTTTTTTCACTCTCTTATCTTTTTGAGGGTCAAGGGTCAAGAGCATGAAGTTGGTGGTTGGCTGTTTCTATTATGTTTTATGGTACACAGTGATATGCTTTACATCTAATTGATACTGATGGATGTTGTAGTTGCAAAGGAGTTGATTTGACACCTCCATGTTAATGTTCTGTTCCACACAGTATATGCTTTACAAGGAAGTTGACCTCCCTTCCACCACCCAGCCCCAGCCTATTCAATTTTGCCTATTATGACATTATGACTCAGTGTTGTTATCATGGGTTTGGGTGATGGACTGAGTGGCTTCCCACATGCTTCCTTTTCTTCACTACTTCAGTGGGTCTAACAGTATGAACCCATGAGCCTTTTCCCAAGGGCTGAGGGAGATAATATACACAACAGCTGATGTCAGGGCATGACTATGTGTCTCGTCTTCCTTTGTTAGAATCGTGGGTTGATTGTCCTAGGACTTAAAAAGTTTCATAGGATCTTGGGAAAGTAACTCAATTTTTGTTTCATAGTCTATAAATAAAGGTCTGACTGTAGATAGTCTGTATCTGCCATTGAGTTGATGTTGACTCATGAGGCCCCCGACAGTTTTAAAAAATAAATTAAAAATCTTTTGTGGAATTTAATTTCTAAAGGAAATTACTTCAAGATGCTTTTTGTTCCTGGCTCTAATTATCACTTGATTGCGTGAATGCAGAAGGTCCCCTATTGGTAATTTTGTAGCAAGTTCTGCCACTTTTGAATTGGATTACTTCCAGGGGAGGAATGCTTCAATTCAAAGTCAGATTTTGCTTTTAGGACAATGTAATTAAAAATGATTATTGTCTGGAGAGCCTTAACATAACCTGTCACATTGTTTCAAAGAAAAGATATAGGTAGGCGAAGGAGCAGACAGACTGAGGTGTTAATAGTACCTAAAGGTGTTTGTCTGAGGGAGCCATGCTGAGAACCATTCCAACCACTTCAAGTAAGCTTTGAGGTTTTTGTTTTCTTTTTATCATGTACTAGGACCTAGTCTGTCCCAGGATTGCTTTTCTGTCTGTCAGAGTAAATAGACTATCACCCCTGTGAGGGAAGGGCCCGCACTGTCTTTGTTCTGTAGGCTCAGCATGTAGCACAGTTTGTCCCATGATGCAGTATTTTCTAAACTTTTATCAAATACCTAATTGACAAAATATATTCTGAATGCTTTTTCCAAAAGTCTGGTAGAAAACTTGAGAGAAGAGAGGAAGTGAGGAAGGAGAAGGAAAAGGTGGCCTTTTAAGATGGCTTTGGGCCCAGTAGGTGTTTAAAGCTTTCTCCCTCTTGAATACGTTTGTGGCTTCTTCAGGAACTCTTCTGAGCAACTCCCTCCCATGCTACCCTGCCTCTAACGGGGCTGCAACCTGACCTTTCTCCTAGGACTCCGAACGCCCTGCTTGAACTGTCGTCCAGAGCGGCCCCAGTCTGTGTTTCTGTCTTAAGTTGGGAATCTATAGAAGAGCTGGTTGAGCCGAGGATGAAACAGGGAGGAGGCCACTCTGCCCCTGGATGCCCAGTTTATTTTGGACAGACAGCAGTACTGCTAGTGTCTGGGGAATTAGACATCACCCCTACCTTTGGGAGCACTTAACTCCCTAGTGCTACACAATTCTGTTTGTATTGCCCAGGGGACTTCATGCTCCACAGATCAAACGAGACTGTTTTAAGAATCCCACGCTTTAGTTTTAAAATGTGTTTGAAGTCCCTGATTTGACAACAAAACAAAAAGTTCCTGTTTGTCTTCTTTCCTTTATCACCTCTCCCCACATCTGCAGCTTCACATTACAGCGACACAGCTAGCAGCAGACCTGCTGAGACACCATGTGGATCGTGAGGTTTTGAAAGCACTGAAGCTCACTGGGGTAGAAGGGAATTTAGAAGCGCTGGCGGACTATGCCTGTAAACTCTCTGAGCAGAAAGAACAGCTCATTGAGGTGAGTCACAGGCTGGCTTGCTCAATAAATGCACAGCTGTCACGATTGCTCCATGGAAGCTGTACTGTCATAAGGGAATGGTAGCATGAATATAGTGTTTGATTCTTACATGAACATCCTTTCTCATTGGAGCCTCAAAGATATGTTTGTTTCGTTCTGATAGCATTTGACCTCTAGAACAAAACAGGGCAAAAAGACCGTAGGACTAACAAATGCACTTCTTAAATCTTTTTTCTTCTTTCAATCCTTCCAAGGACATTAGACCTAGGAGTAAAGCATTGGGGGTATGTTGTAAGACCTTGATTCTGTTGGAATGCGATTGTCAGATTGCTAACAATAAGGTGGACAGTTCAAACCCGCCAATGGCTCCGGGGGAGAAAGCTACGGCTATCCACTCCCATTAAAATTTACAGTGTTAGAAACCCTACAGGGAGTGGCTAATTGTTGAAATTCACTCCAGGGCAGTGAGTTAAGGAGGAGGACTCAGTAACATTTGTTGCACATGCATAGGGGGAACCACAGGGAAAGTGCAGGAGTTGGGGATAATGATAGTTGAGCTAATGGCACCCCAGTTCGCAGGGTGAGCGAATGGTTACCCAATCTGGGAAGGGGAGGGTCGTTTAGAGGAGACTGAATCCTGCACACACGCGCACGAGGACAAGCCAAGGTGACCCTGTAGAGAAAGAGCTTGGGAGTACACTCCTTCTTGAAGTCCTAGAGCCAGGCCTTCCCAATGGGCAAATGCAGGGCAGCTCAAACCAGGCCCAAAAGCAGGTTTGAAAAGTAGATGTGAAGGGGTAACAAGAGACACCCAGCACCCCACTCCTTCACCAAAACTTTCCTGTTCTCCCCACTATTAAGTGCTAAGGGTGCTTCAGTAACTCAGGACTGCCTTTTATTATAAATCTAATATGGCTTACTAATTAACATTCCAAGCCTTTCACGTAATTGAACATGTCAGCTATCTGGCAGTTTAAAAACAATGCTGTTCCCCATTTATACCTTGTGTATATGAGGCGTGACCTAGTCACCATGTGTCCAGAAATGCACGGTTGTCAGCCATTTAACTAGCTTCTAATAGACTGCCGACAGGAGCTCAAAGACACGTGGTTAGCAGGAACCTCGTAGACCCACTGGACGAGCTTGACTTCTTTGCAAATCAACCTGAAGCCTGTTAGGGAGTACGCTTTAAATAAGTAGATCTCCTCTGTTTAATAGATTTGATTTTGCTATATTGATAAGCCAAGTCCTGTGACTGTAGGGCAACTCAGACATAGTTTAACTGTGAGATCCCAGACAGGTCACGTCTCTTTGCCAAATTTGTTCATATATAAAATGTGTGGTTCTACTACATCTCTTCAATGGTGTCTCCTGGTGCTAGTAGCCTCTGAGCACCTTGCTGTGATGGAGAAGTAGAAACAAATGTGTTATAGCCTAGTTATTCCTAAGCAATTCCTTGGTAATGGATATAGTATTATAATCATCTTAATAAAGTAATAAGTAATTTTATGTTCTATAAATTTGTGGTTAATAATGTTTCTTTACCGATGATAAAATACTGCTATGAATTGGAAAGAATGAGAATGTGACAATTGGACTATCCAAATGTTGCCTCTTAGACTTGCCGGTTGTTGCGACATGTATCTGGGACAGAACCGCTTGAAATAACCTGTCTACACGCAGAAGAGACATTTCAGGTGACAGGCCAACAGGTAGGTTCAAGAGCAGATGGTGCCTTCTATTTAAATCTTGTCTGGGTCCGTAACCAATGGTGTAGGAGGCGGACTCTGTGTAACAAGAGACCGAGCTTTACGAGAAACGCAGATCATGGAATTTTCATTGGTGGTTTGCCAGAACACAGATGTCTATTAGATTCTCTGCCAAATTGGAAATTGGCCCATTTAATTAACGCTTGTTTCTATCCAGTTTAAAGAAGCCATTTACAATGCAACTTGTTAACACACTTTTGGAAAGTATCATATATAACAAGCCATTAAAGCATTCACATTTTTTATCTAGTAATTCCTAAGGTTATAAGGAGATAATAATTTTAAAAGGATGTTTATTATAACATTTTATAAGACTCCTGGAAGCTATAGCTCCTTTTTAGGCAAATCATACACTAGGACTCGAAGACAATAATTATGTGGCTCTGGGCCGGAATTTGTAACACAGAGTTTACTGAGCTGGTTTGAACAATGGCTCTACAGCAGCGGTTCTCAACCTGTGGGTCGCTACCTGTTTGGGGGTCGAATGACTCTTTCACAGGAGTCACCTAATGCCATTGAAAACACATATTTCCGATGGTCTTAGGAACCAAGAAACCACTCCTCTATCCGTCTCCAGGCGGGTCTGCCCACATGCAGATAGCCCACGTACGAGTACCCCGGCATGAAGACTGTTCCCCATGCTACACCATGCATCAAGACAAAATTTCATTCATTTGTTATGAGAAATAAATATTTCACAATATATAATTACATATTGTTTTGTGATTAATCACTAATTGATGATTTAATGATGTTCAATTTGTAGCAATGAAAATACATTCCTGCATATCTGATATTTACTACGATTCATAACAGTAGCAAAATTACAGTTATGAAGGGGCAACAAAAATGATTCTATGGTTGGGGATCACCACCACATGAGGAACTGTATTAATGGATCGCAGCATGAGGAAGGCTGAGGACCGCTGCTCTGCAATGTCGTGCAGTCTCCTCGGTGCTTCTGAGACTGCTACTTTTGCAATTCACTCCGGTGTACGTCGTGTTTCTTTAGATAATTTCTGCTGCCGAAACGTTGACATTACATCCATCTAGTAAAATTGCTAAAGAAAACCTTGATGTGTTTTGTGAAGCTTGGGAATCCCAAATGAGTGACATGGCAACACTGCTAAGAGAAGTCAATGATGTGTTTGAAGGAAGGCGAGGTGAGAAACTGCCCACGTATGAAAATGCACTGCCATGGTAATGTAACCGACTTCTCAATGTTGAATCTCAAGTGCAAAATGAAATATTTCATTATAACCTACGTGGGTTATTTTTACAGGGAAATATATTTTACAGAAAAATAATGAAAATATTTATTTTAGCACCTAAGCAATAAACTTTGTTGTATAGGAGGGCAATCTTGTTTCTTTAAATTAATATTAGCATTCTTCTTTTCCTATGGAAATGAAGTCTTTTTATATTTCTTCTAAATTGGTTTCTAGTTTTAGTACTAAAGCTGTCCTAAAATAACAGTAATTTTCTGATTGTTAACTTTAATTCTGTTAACTGCGTATTGAAATGAATGTAGCTATTTGATTTTTAAATTGCTTCCCTTCACTTGGATGAAAACTCTTGCCCTGGACTGTTTCCTGTGGTGGGTAAGTTCACTGGCATTTCTACCATATGTAGACTAGCACAGTATAATGTGGCAAGGCATTGCTTTTATTCTTTACTATCAACTTGGAATTTGGTTTGTTCCTATTATACGGTGTGTTTTGGTATTCATGTTGATGTGTGATATATTCCCTCCCCCCCCCCTCCGCCCCCCCAATGGTTTCTGTTAGTGTCAAAGCATGCTTTAAAAAAATTTTTTTTTTAATTTTGAAATAAAATACCTTATGAAGTCACAATAACATCAAACTACATATTTTTATTGATTACAGCATTTCCTATTTTAAAAAACACCCACTTAGGATAAATATGCTTAAAACTCATGGAATTATAGACTCTATGCAATATCATTTGCACAGTATAATAGACACTCGCCGTGCTTCCACAGTGAACGATTTCTGTAATTGCTGGTTGGGTAGCATAGCATTTTGATACTTTAAGAACATATTTGTAGTTACAAGTATTTTTGTTTGGGGTAAGGTGATAGAGTAATCGCCGGTCAGTTAGCTGTAGGGATGGTTTAGGAAATAAGGGAAAATCATTGGTGTGATAAAGGACGCCTGGCTGGCGGGAGTCACAGCATTCATTATCAAGACCCAGGTCTTCTTCAGTGGTCTTTCACAAGCGCTTCCTCTCTGGTCCTGGGTGTTCTCATCTCAGTAACCAAGGAATTGGGCTGTGTGAGCTCAGATGCTGCTGCCAACTTTGAAAGTCTATTGTGAACACTGAGTGGGCTTCAAAAAAATCATGGAAAATTGGAATGGAAAGATAATGCAGTTTTCCCACCAAGTTTTTGAAGCCCTCCAGTACCGGAAGTCAGTGTACCGCTGAGCTCTCGACGGTGTGTCTCTGTGCTGCCCATGTCCCCTGAGGCCAGAGGTTCTGGCTTTGTTCTGAGGCATCATCTGCCCATTCAAGCACAAGGCCCGGGAACCTGCCAGAGAATGGCCCTCTGATTTTCTGGGGGCAACCTGATTTCAGATACTTACTATAGTGTCCTGTGGGCACTGTGGACCGCCAACCTAACGAGCCAGATGCCCCGTGCTAGAGCAGTCTTTCAGGCAGTATGTTTCTCATACTCTTCTTCAGTGCTGAGTAAGCTTGTGCTTTTATTCATGAAAATGTGTGCCCCTGTTTCTCTGTCAAGATGAAACCATTCCTTCTCCAGTGGGGAAAGCCCCTGTGGGAGGCTTCCCCTGCTGAACACCTAATGTGACACTAAATCACTGCTCCATCTTCTTTCTCCCACCAAAGGAGAGGGTCAGTGAAAAGCAGACTTCTCACTAAGGTCTACTGGATCATATTGTACAAATAATGTCCAGTAGCACATGGCTGTGAAAATACAGCCATAAAAGTAAAAATAGCTCCACAAATTGAGAACTTCCTGTGTACCAGGCACTCAGTAGTTCCGAAGAGAGACAGGAAATTGCCGTGTGGTGAAACTGAACTTCAGAGGTAATTGGCCCTGGTTCTCATAGCGAATAGATTACAGAGCTCAGGGCTCCTACCTCCTGTTTGACTGGCACCGTGCTATTTCCAGCAGCCAGTTTCCCTGAAGGGTGAAGTCTTTATCAGCCTGAAAGTGTTTTCATGAGAATGAACTAGTCCTGCACTGTGGGTTCTGCTTTCCCCAGCCCAAATCATTCCAGAAACAACTGGGAGATCCTTATCTCGGACAGTGCAGAAGGTACAGAGGAAGGCGCAAGCAATTGAGGACCAGGGGATTGGCTGCTTGTTGTAGGCTCACCACATATTAGCTGAAAATCGGATAAGCTAAATGACAGAAGAGAGCCATCATTGGGTGAAAATGAGTAATGGGTGCTGGCTGTATGTCCTGGCCTCTTGAGTTTCAGTGAACATACATGAAATCATCTATTACAGTCCTTGGATTATAATAAGTGTCACCCACCAGTTATGTGATCTTGAGCAATTCTGTGAATCTCTAGCCTGTTTTTCATTTTGAAAGTAGACTAGATCAAGGGTCCCCAGCCGTCATCATTCTTGCTCGGTAACAAATGTTGCTGACTGACTTTGGTCCTTTTTTTAAAATACACTCCCACGTAGTCTCCTCCTCCTCCTCAGCCACTGTGGATAGACCAGGACTGAGGTGGAGGAATCAATCTGTAATTATTTTCTGGATTAACTGATCACTTTCTCTCAGTGTCAAGTTGGATATGATAGAAATGACCCCTTTCTTAGCTTTAGGTAACCGACCTCAAAAAAGCAGGGTTCCCTTAACTTGTTAGGGCTGACAGAAATTCCTTGTTAGGTGAAGGCACGTGACTGCCTCCAGGCTGCTGTGTAACTGATAAAGGTCTTCCTGGTGAGAAAGGCATCCAGGTGAGGGTTATTCGGGGTTAGTGAGAATGGTTGGTTCCATGCACTGCCCTCTTTGCCCTGATTCTTATCATGAAGTATTTGAGAGGGCTTTTCTACAAAGAAGTCCAACTCTGGGTGCACCGTGATCGACCGGACTGAGCCCAGTGTAGTGTTGCCCCTGGTTTCTAGGGCGATTGTGACAAACCTATTACCTTGCACCTGCCAGCTGCTTCCCATATAAAGGACACTGTATTCTTCAGAGCCTGGCTTCCCTCTGCTCTAACTTATTGGAAAGCCATTGCTGTGTTCTAGCTGCCTTGGTTCTGGTCTATGCATCTCGCCTGCTGTGACTGGGAAAATGACCAACGTATCTGCAAGTCCTACTTCAATACCTCTTGGGAGGCAAACACCATGCTAAGCATTGAGAGGGGGCCTTTAGCCTTCTCCTACGTTGAAGTCAGGATCTGAGAGCTAGTTCAATGTCCATCTTAGTCTGAAAATCAAGTGTTGAACCATCACTTCCTGGGATTGTATCAAGAGCATGTTAGTACTTGTCCTGCCTTCCAGCTTTTACCCCATTCTACCTCCTTACCCAGCGCTCCAGGCGGGCATGGTCTTGGTGGGGACTAGGTGGAAAACTGTTCCCATAGTGAAGATTAGTCTCAGCATTAGAATTTGAAACCAGAGCTTGCAGACTGTCCCTCCTTTTTTTTGGTGTCAGTAGTGGAACGATCCACCCTTTTTACTTGCAAAGGGTGAACAGAAAGCTACTTTATTTCTCTAGGACGTTTGTAAAGAGGTATCTTCACCTTGAGAAGAAACTGAGTAAGAATAAAAGTCCACAGACTGTCCCTCCTTTAAGGAAGCTGAATTTCCCTTATTTTGTTGGGAACATCAGAGAGCAGATGTGCCTGCATTTCCATTTTTAAGGGTATACATCTGACGAAATTAGGAGTCCTGGTAGCATAGTGACTACTCATTGCGCTGCTAACCTCAAGATCAGTAGTTTGAAACCACCAGCTGCTCCAAGGGAGAAAATAAGACTGTGTATTCCTGTAAAGAATTGTAGTCTCAGAGACGGGGCATTGTTCCCCTGTACTATCGGCCACTGTGAGTCAGAATTGACCCAGTGGTAGTGACTTTGGTTTTGGGTTCTGACTAAATTATATAGGTCAACTCCTCTCTTTTTATTATGATTATTATTTTACTACTTTTATAAACCATTCTATTTTAAAATCCCATGGTTCTTTCTGTGTGTGCTGTTCTTTGATTTTGATGCCCTGGCTGATAGTCTTGCACCCTTTTCTCAGTTGGCAGAGTGGATGGATGCGGTGGAGCTCACTGAGATGGGAGAACAGAAGAAGGGTGTGTTTGTGGTTAAAAACGAGCTGGTTTGAGGGACATGTGCGTTTGGAACAACAGAACAATCGACCCAGACTAGAAGTGATGGCCTAAATTGGGGAAAATACGTTGCAGTTTACCTGGAGATATGAGGTCTGATGTAAAAAGCATATTTAAAATCATATTGGTAGGACTTGGTGAGTGATTGAATATAGAGGGGAGGGCATGAGGGGAGTTTGAGAACGACTGCTAGTAAGAGTTGGATCAGAATACTTCAACCCTACTCCTGAGTTTAGCTCATGATCTGCCCATCCATGAATGGTTTATATTCATTGTAAGTTGGTCTGGGAACCTGAATGTTTTTTCTGATTGGTCATGCCATACAGAATTCCCTATAGAACCACAGCTGAACTTCCAGTGGGGCAGAAATGGAGGCAGTGGTGGCTCAGTGACAATTCCATTCCTAGCCAAGCACTGCCTCATGTACAGCTACCACCCATCTGTCTGGAAGGTTCTGTCCTGCTGACCAGGTGGACAAGCTAGAAAGAAACACCAAATCCACCATTGAGAACCCTGGGGCCGAAGCAGGTGGATCAACAAGCAATCACAGTACTGTCTCGGGACCGGGCAGCGTTTCATACAGCTGGACAGGAGGGTGCCAGGCTTCGGGGCTGACTCCCTAGGGAAGCACATTGTGCATCTTTAGTGCAGTACCACAGCCTTGCTCTTCACCAGAGTTGTAGAAAGGCTCTGGATCTTAATGAAAACAACCTTTCTCATTTAGATTTTTCATAAGAAATCATTTTGGTACCTGTGTTAGATGAAAGTGCCGTTTTAAATATTGGGAACTTATCTGGATAATATGGAAACTCAGAAGTAAAGATGGCACACTTCTGATGTTGATTACTAAAGGATTAACAAGTATGAAACCTGTAAGATTTTCTTCTGTGGATAGTCTTTGGAAGTCATTCTGTCAACTCTCTGTTCTAAATATATTTCCTCAGGTGGCTGTGTTTTTCCAATGACTTCTAATGTTTATAACATGTTTTCATCAGAGAAATTACTTGCTTATGCTACTTCTTTTATTTGATATAACTAAATATAATTGATTCAATGCTTTCTTAGCATAGAATTCGAGTTATATGGGAAAACAACAATAAAATTAGTTATAAAACAGTTTAGATGCTTGCCACAATCAATAAAGAAGCAACACTCAGCACCGAGAATGCAAACTGTGAGAGATTATTACTTACGGGAGATAGTGGAAATCAGTGGTCTGCAAGCTTTTTTGATTATGTACCCAAGCGAACATGTTTGGGACATCCTCATCCTCTCCAAAATAACGTAGATTCATCCTTACTATTCTCTTTTCTTTTTTGTATTATAATCTGATGATTTGATTTCTGGTGGGTTAAGCAGGATGGTGGATACCCTTGTTTGCACAGCATTTGGGGACAGCCTATCCAAAGATTGATTATATTTGCAGTTGTTATCACTTTTTTTACAAACTCTTCTAAATCTATCAGAAGATGGGAGCACGGGGACTGAAACTGCCCAGTGATAAATAATTAGGGGGGAGTTGAGGTAGGAAGCCCCACTGTTTATCACGTTCACTATCCATTGTATGTATTTTACCTGGTTTTGCATTTCCCTAACTCTGTTGGCCCGCAAGACATATTGAAAGAATTGGCTTGTGTCCCACCCCTTTGGTGAGTCCTTGTGCCATCTTAGGGTTATGGCCACAATGGAGGAGCACAGGTCAGAGAATACAAGAATTACTCAGCTGAGCTAATTACATGGAAGTAATGATTATGCTTTTTCAGAGCTTATTGAAACCACTCTTTAGGAATATTATGGAAAGGATTTGAATTATAGAGGATGAATTCTGAAATCCGGAGGGACCTGAAGACCTTCTTCAATTCATCTAACCACTTAATTAGGTGCATTTCACACCAGGCTAAGAACAATGACCGTTTCCGCTCTAAGTCTTCCTCTGTTGCCCAATTCTCATATTACAAAACCATCTATAAAATCCCCTTACAGTTTGACATTACAAATAAATTACTTGAATCTTAAACCTGTTACCAAGTATAAAGGGCCTTCCAATGTTTTTTGGAAAGAGTGAAATTTAAGAGGATGGAACGTTTGAGAAGTTCCCTGAAACCATTAGCTGGCCCTTTGCAGCAGCAGCAGCAGCTCTTCCAGAGCAGGATCGCCTGCCTGGCCAGCATCATGGGAGCCGCACCATGTTGTTCAAAATATTCTAGTAACCACTTGAAAAAAGGGACATGGAAGAAGTGAAGCTAATTCAAATAATATATTTTTATTTTAACCTAGTATATAAAATATATTTATGGTAATATACTCAACATATAAACATTATTGAGATAATTTGAATTTTTTCTTTGTACTGAGTTTTCAAAAATCCTGAGTACCGTTTATATTTGCAGCACATTTCAATGCATACTAGCCTAATTTAGGCTCCCTTCCACAATTTGAATTACTCAGCTGTTACCCACAATTAGAAGGTTCTATACTTAACAGCACAATTCTAAATGAGATTCCCAGTCTGCTGTGAACAATTTCACTATGTTCATATAATGGTCATTCTATAAGAAATAATATTAGGATGGATGCTCTTAAATTTCTGTTAAGTTGGACTGTATGAAATTGCTCTGTGTATTTCAAAATGTTTGAGTATTGTGTTAGTCTGGATACATTAGAGAAACAAATCTGGAGAAACTCATATGTACGAGAGAGTTTTATATAAAGTGTAAGTGTACATTAAGAAAGCATCCCAACCCCGTGCTGTCTAAGCCCATAAGTCCAACATTAGCCCATATGTCCGACACCAATCCAAAAGGTCCTCCTCAATCTCACAAAGCACACTCAATGATGCCGACTGCAGGAGGAAAGCTGAATCAGTGAGCATGTAAGCATCTCAGTACTGGCAGGGGTCTCCACGTGCCTGCTCCAGTACCCAGGGCTGCATCAGGTTCAGTCCATGTGGCTTCTCCTCAGAGATGTCTTGCAGGAAGTGAGCCTTGCCACTGGAAGCAGGGAACTGGCTAAAGCAATTGCACTCTGATCCGACCATCAGCTCTCCGCCCTTCAATTAATCCCACGTGTTTATCAGCCAGGTCGGCACAATAAACCTTAGCTATCTCAAATATCAACAATTTCACGTGGTGCAACTTAATATAGCTGAGCATTCTCTTTTTGTAAAATCAATTTATTGGGGGCTCATACGGCTTTTATCACAATATATCGATCCATTGTGTCAAGCACATTTGTACATTTTTGCCATCATCATTTTCAAAACATTTTCTTTCTACTTGAGTCCTTGGTATCAGCTCAATTTTTCTCTACTCCCTCCCTCACAAACCCTTGATAATTATTTATAAATTGTTATTATTTTTTCATGTCTTACACTGACTGGTGTCTCCCTTTACCCACTTTTCTGTTGTCTGTCCCCCAGGGAGGGGGTTATATGTAGATCCTTGTGATCAACAATTTCATGTGGTGCAACCTAATGTAGCTGAGCATTCTCCTTTTTAAAAATATCAAGACACAGTTACTGTTCACATCTGATCAGGAGTCATTCTACTTTAGATGCACAAACTAGTTACCAAAAAAAATATATATATATATTACCACTGTAGCCTGCCTTTATAAATGGACAATCTGGAGCTAGAAAAGTCACAGGGGAAGGAAGATAAAGTGGGACTTACACACACCTCCTTACTTTTCATGGTTTGTGTTTCTTGTGCTGTAGTTCACAGCCAAGAGACTGGTTAGTTGCTTTCATTCACCTCCACACCTTCCACACCAGGGTTGTCCTCCCTGTCTGGGAGAAAGCATGATGCGGTTAGCTGTGACAGACTTGCCCTGGTGCTTGCAGAAAAGGAAGGAAGCATGGTACTGACTTAGATGAGGGAGGAATCCGGTTTCATTCGAGGCAGGTGACTGTCAAAGGAATTCATTGGGAGTGAAGTTGGGAGTCAGGAAGGCAGTTCTGTCCTTCCACCTTAGAGATGCAGCTGATGAGGACAGCTGCAATCCCATTCACTAATCAAAGCATACCTTATCAGTGAATGATGTGGAAGACTGAAGTATCAAAATGGATGTATTCATAACATTTGTATTTAAAAATAATTTTTAAAGTAATATATAAATAAGAGAAAATATATTAAGTGGAAAATTTGTTTCAAGTTATGTGTGTTATTTGTAGGGGAGAAGTATGGCTACCTTTCACTTCCAAAGTCAATGGTAAGTAGAAGAGTTTTATCCATTACAGAATATTTTTATTCAGAATTCCAATTATATTATTACTTATCTATTGCTAGTTCCCCCCACTTCAGATAATCGCCCCTCTGGAACCAAGTTGGGACAGTGAGAGGCGCATTATTTTCAGCAGCAGCCTGGCTCTAAAGCATGCACTGATTATTTGTGTTTGGTTTGGAGAGTTGAGGAGCTAGGAAACAGACTGTGATTAGTTAAGAAGTCATAATCTGAGGCCAGGCCTCCTCTGGGTTGCTGTTCTCTTGGGTCTAATTCACAGAACTATTTTCTGCCGATGAAAACTTCCATACTACTTTATGCACGAATCAAAGTATGCCATGCATATGCAAGGCACTGGTCCTAGGAGCATCTGGTGGTTTAGAACCGCCAGCCTTATGGATCATAGCCCAGTGTGTAACCACTACATCACCAGGGCTCCTCGCCTCGGGGAGCATGGTGGAATCAACCAGACGGCAGTGAGTTTGTTTTAGAGTGGCCAGGAAGCAAAGCTGGGGTCTGGTACTGTTCCTATCAAGAGGCTGAAATGTTTTGCCTCTGACTGCATTGTTCAACAGTGTCCACTAGATGGCAAGTTTGGTTCCATTAATAAGGTGTCTTACTTAGATGGTTTCAAGATTTCTCCTGTTAGGTTCCATTACACAGTTTAATAATAATTAGTTTGTAAAAGTCAAAATAAAAAAGTGAAAACAGTGTAACTTAAAAGAATAAGGTGAGGTATGACATTCTAAATAAAATAAAATAAAACACTAAAAATGTTGAGGGCATTCCTAACTTTCTTATATGTTTTAATGTAGTCTACTGGGCCAAGGAAGAAGATAAACATTATCTTACTTGAATGTAATCATAGAGGGAGGACCCACGTAGAGGTCACTGACCATTTTACTATGTTTTCTAATCAACACAGAGGCAGCTGATATTGATAGTTGGGTGATAGTGAGATAATAGTTTCCCTATATCTGTTTTATGAACTGTTTCTCCTGTAGTTACTATCATTAGAAGATCTCAAAAGCACCATGCTATGTAAGCTCTTAGCTCCCTGGGAGAGGCCCGAAGGGGTTTTGTTCTACAGTGAGACTGCAATAGTGGTTGGTCGGAAAACCATAAGGGAACTGAAAAATATTTCGATACAGACCAGGAGGCTCTAGCAATCTTGTGGGGAAATGGAGTTAGACAATGAAACTTTTCCATCAGCATTTTGAAGCCCCCTGTCTGCCAACACAGTGGTATTGAAGATGATCTGTTTCTAAGCAAAATGAGCACGTGTGTTTGCTTTATTATAATTTGTACTGTTTGGGAGAGCCCTGGTGGTGCAGGGGCTACACATTTGGCAGCTAGCCGAAAGGTGGGTGGTTCAAGCCCACCATCATGGGAGAAAGATGGGACAGTTTGCTTTCATAAAAGCCCACTGCCGTCTGGTTGGTTCTGACCCTGTACAACAGTCGAGCAGCCCCACTTTCCAAGGCTGTGGTCTTTCTCCTGCAGAGTGGCTGGTGCGACAAACCGCCAGTCTTGCGGTTGGCAGCTGGTTGCTTTAACCACTGTGCTGCCAGGGTTTGTCCACAAAGACCGCAGCCTTCCAGATCCTACGGGACAGCTCTACTCGGCCTCTGTTGTCACCGTGAGTTGGAATCAACTCAGGGGCAATGGCTTTGGGTTCGTTTCATGCTTCTATGCATGTGTATGATGATGTACTCAGCGTATGTAGCTATAATTTACAGAGATGTTTCTTTAAAAAAAAAAAGGCTTTGTGTATCTCCCGACCCCTTTGCTTCTACCAACACCCAGGCTGGAACTCCCACTGTGGGGACCTCCGCCAGACCTCGACGGGTGCTGTCCTTTCAGGAAGCTCTGGCTGTACTGTTCGCTCCAGAGGCTTTCCTGGGTTGTGCTCTCTATGGGAACAGCTTGCCCTGGCTTTTCCCCACAGTGCCACCTTGGAGCACTTAGCCATTGTGCTGCCAGGGCTCCTTTCAATGGACTGTGTGCTGAGATTTAGCCTTCCACGGACAGATTGGTTAAAGGAATTGAATCCTAGCATCATACATGAGAAAACATGGACAATTACACATAATGCCCATGTTTAATATTCCCTTTCCTTGTCAATCATTCAAACTTTATAATCGTACTGCAACAGAAGGCTAGAGAAGGTTTGAGGATGGAATACTTGGACTTGAATACTGCATAGAAGAAGCCTGTCAGCCCCTGGGGCCCCGCTGAAAGGAGAACAGTGTGAAAAAGAAGGGCACGTTTGCAGGACAAGACCCTGGCCTGTTTTTCCTGGCCCAGTTTTCCCATTTCTAATACCTGTTCAGAATTAAACTCGCATCACCTCCCTCACTGTGATCCTGGCAATGCCGGCTCATAGCAAGCCTGTAGGACAGAGAGGAACTGCTTCCCAGGGTTTCCAAAACTCATCTCCGCCAGCCTGGCAGTTGGGTAGCCCAATGCCTAACCCAGAGTGCCACGGAGCTCCTTAACCGCAGATTGGTAGAGATTATTTTTAATTGGTTATTTGATTTAAACCACTTAACATATTGCTCCATCACAATACAGAGCCCTGGTGGCATAGTGATTACCAGTTGGGCTGCTAATGGAAAGATCAGCAGTTCGAAATCATCAGCCATTCCTAGGGAGAAAGATGAGGCTTTTTATCTCTGTGAAGAGTTTAGTCTCAGAAAACCCCAGGGGCAATTCTGTACTGCCCTGTAGGGTCACTATGAGTCAGAATCGAGTTAGGTTTTGTTTTCAATTATTAGCAATAATGTTAGTTATGTTTGTATTACTAAGTTTGTTCATAAGTAAATGCACTGCTTTTAATCTTTTTATTGTCACAGAAGAATAATGCTAACCTGAAATCATTAAAGTCAGACAAACCAGACTCTGAGGTAAGGCCTTTTCCTCTGTAATAATCTCATAGCTAACATTCCTTTTCAATCAGTTAATGACCAAGTCGTTGTGATTAAAATGTGTGCTTTGTAGGAGCAAGCCAGGATAGCAAAGCTTGGGCTTAAACTCGGTTTGCTCACCTCCGACGCAGACTGTGAAATTGAGAAGTGGGAAGATCAGGAGAATGAGATTGTTCGCTATGGACGGAATATGTCCAGAATGGCCTATTCCCTATATTTATTTACCAGGTAAAGAGAGTTACACTTTGAGCTTTTTCAGTTAGTATAATACTATCTGGTATAAAGAAAAACTGTTATGTTAAATGACTGATCGTTTAAACATCAAATGTGTAGTAAAAGGGTTAAAAGTAGTTCTTACAACACTTTAGGGTCCCTGGATGGTACAAATGATTTGTGTGAGATTACTAACCTAGTGGTTGGTGGTTCAAATGAGAATTATTTAATGAATGAACCATGAAGGCATTTCATTAGCATTAGATTTATAATTCTTTAGAATGGGTTTGTGCCCATTCTTTCCATCAATTTGAAATAATTTTGAATCCTGCTTCTCGCATGCCAGTTCTCTCCCCCAGCCAGCATCACTAAGTTTAAGAAGCATGCCCTTTGTATACTTGCCAAAGATAAAAAAATAGAGCTCTGAGCATTCATTCAGTATCAAAGCATTTTCCTAACTTTATTATCACCTGACCTGCAGCCTCCGTCTTGTCCATACTACAAGACTCTTGATCAAATTGCCTTGTTGAAGTCAATACACATAGCATGGTTGAATGCCAGCCAATTCATTTTGGAACCAGTAATTGTATATTCTTTTAATCTTTTGATGCTTTCTGCATCATTCAGTGTTCTGTACATTCTTGTTAAGATGCTGCTGAAATCAGTGAAAATTCACAGTGACCCTATATACAACCAAATTAACATTTCCTGGTCTTAGACCATCCTCACAACTGTTATGTTTGAGCCATTGTTGCAGCCATTGTGTCAGAACATCTTGTAGAGACTCTTCCTCTTTTTCACTGCCCTTTTCCAGGGACTGGTCTCTGCGGGTAGGTCTCATCATCCCATGCTTCTAAGGAGCACTCCGGCCGTACTTCCCCGAAGACAGATTTGTAATCCTTTTAGCAGATAATGGCACTGCATCAATTTTTCTCCCATCTTCCTTATTCAGTGTCCAACTTTTACAGGCATATGAGGCGATTGAAGATACAGTGGTTCGAGTCAGGAGTCCCTTAGCCCTCATGTCCATAAAATTCTGTAACTTTTGAGGCTTGTCCTTTTTCCTTTTGTTCCTTTAGCTTGAGACATGCTGAGCATGTTTTTCTATTTTGGCTTTCTAACTCTAGTAGATATTTCACTAGTTTGTCTTCTCGAGCTGCCTTTTGAATTATTCCGTTCCACTCTTTTACTTCATTTTCACCATCAATCCTCCTTTACTAAATAATTTTCTTTTATTTACACAATAATCTATTCTCAATTTTTTTCAAGGAGAGAATTTAGGATTTATTGATTTCCTGAAATTTACCTTTTCCAGTTTAGGAAACCTTGAAAATATTTTATTTCCAAAGTTTTCTGCCTTATCTCCTCATAATTTTGATTTTGAAAAGATTACTTACATGCCTATAGTTGTTTCCATATTCTGAGATGTAATTCAGTTTTTTAATGATTTAACCTGGATTAAAGTAGTTAGGGTCTCTACAAATGGTATAGACTGTGGGACTCAGTAATCAGCACTGGTTTTTCAGGGCAGTTCTGCACAGATTGAAAAAGAAGCAAAAGAATAAGGCATGTGGGATTAGTCCCATTTGTCATCGATAAAGCAGATATTAGAGAATGTAATTTGTATCTGTAGATTTATACCTAGAACTGGAAAGTGTTATAATCTGACTCTATAAAATAAGAGGTATCTCCCCAAGGCAGCTATAACTCCCAGAGAAAAGGAGAAAAGAAGGGCTACTCTCGAAGCAGGAGCCAGGGTGCTTTGGTAGTGGGGACTCTTTCATGTGGGAGGAGGGGCGGAGGAGGGAGAAGCACTTGTGGGCTAAGGTTCCCTTTCTCCGTGATGCTTTCTTCTACTCTTGAGATGAGCATTCTGGAGGGAGAATGTTGGAGTCTCACAGCTGTTCATAGGTTTATTCCTTCTAGATTCCTCATCTTCTGATTCATGCCTACTTTACTGCTTCCTTTTTCCTTCTTTGTAATGGCTCTTTGTGTGTGTGTGTGTGTGTGTGTGTGTGTTGGCACTTAATGCCTGGGTCGCAAACGAAATCTCTTCCTAAATGTCTAAGTCTCCATGTGTCTTCAAGTCAAATCTGTAGCTGAGTCAGAACAAGTACATACCGCTCTTCTTTAGCTCGTACTGCGAGCAAAGGCAGTGACAGCTGCACATGCACTACGTGAAGGTGACTGTGCTGAAAACTCTGTTTCCAGTAAGGGTTGCTTCAGTCGATTCAGAAAACAAAATGAAACTCCCTGCCATTACTTGATTCTAACTCATAGTGATCCTATAAGACAAGGTCAAACCGTCCTTGTGAGTTTCTGAGGCTGTAACTCAGCCTACCACTATGGAACCAGGGCTTCTTAATCGATTTGAAGTGAGGGCAAAATTATATCGATCTAGAGAACTAGTAAGAAGTGTCTAGAAGTTGGATGTTCATAACTGGGGACTTACTGTAGCTTTATTTTCTTTTGTAGACTTCTTAATTCTTGGTCATTTTCAATGTGCTATTAGCTAATCTTCAGTAATAGCACAACTATTATTATGATTATTTTATTGATTCAGAATTGAAGCCGATATGATATGTCCCATCAAAGTTAAACAATTGAGTTAGTTCTTACCAGAGTGGAGATTGTGTTATTGTGTGTGCCCTTGGTTCGATTCTGACTCATGGCGGCAAAGTAGAACAGCCCTACTGTAGGGTTGCCCAGGCCGTTCATCTCGAGAAGAGCAGATTCATCTTTCTCTTGTTGAGCACTGGGCACATGTAAGTCCCCAGCCTATTCCTTAGCAGCCCTGTGTTTCTCCACTGTGCACTAGGCCTCCTTGTGAAAATAGAATTAGAGATGGGCGTTGCCTGACTTTTGATCCTCTTCTGCATGACAAAGGTCTTATGAGTAAGGCACATTATAAAATCGCATGTATTTTTGAAGCACATTTGAGGGCGGGGGTGGGGGGGGAAGGGGGGCTCACAAAGTTAATGGGAAAATGGAATGAAAAGATAATGGAATTTTCCCATGAAGTTTTGAAGTCCTCCCATATAAAGAAAATGTTAAAGAGGACAAGTATAACTCGGGATTTTTTAACTTTTTGTATATTACAAAATGAACATGTCTATATCAGCTAAAAAAAAGTATCCAAAGAAGTAATGTTATATATTACAATTGCTGAAAAAATAAAATCTCTGTTTAATATTATTAGTCTATTCAATGTGATTGATTAGTCTGATCCATATTGTTCCCCCAAATTGTGGATCTTTCAGAACAGAAACTGCGCTAAAATTTTAAAACTATAAAACCAATATCCAGGCAGTAACTTTTTCTTATGTTTTTAATTACTAATTTTATTTCAGAGGAGAGGGGCCACTGAGAACTTCCCAGGATTTAACTCTTCAACTAGAGGTAAGAAGGTGTAAAAGATGTGCATCTAGTGATAGGATGCTTTCATCCGCCTGGGAAGTCTTTGGAATCATTGATTGTCCGTTTATCAGGCTCCACGGTACCAGGCATTAGGACTTCAACATAGTTTTTTGAGTAGCATAATTCAATCTGTAATACCTGCTATCTCTCATACCAAAATATTCTGCACACCATTTAAAAACAATCTTTTAAAATATCTTGTGGTCTGCCCAGCCTTATTTTTCTATTCTTCCTCACCATATTGTTCTCCTTGCCAGGAAGTTATAACACGAATGTCATGTATGAAGCAGTCTGAGTTGGCACTCTGACCTGGCTATTTCAGAAACATGTTTAGGTGGCAAGATTTCCTTGCTCATTTGGAAACAGGAACGTTCTCCCCCTTTTGACTTCAAGCTCTGAGACTCAGCAGCCTTTCTCATGGGGACTGTTGGGAGTGAGCTCCATGGACCCCTGGGCTCAGTGTGTGTGACTTAGGGGGAGCCCCCTCTGTCTGTGACCTTCCGTAGGAGCCGCTCGTACGGGCCATTCTACATCAGGTCCAGGAAATCTGAGAGCAGTGACATTCTTGCCTTTTCCTAGATACTACAAAAAGTTGAGGAGTTCAACAGGTTGTTTTATGCTGTGGTTCTATTGTTAAAATACTCTTAGAAAAATTATTAATGAGTATACTCCTTACTGAACTGTGATGCTTTTCCTTCCCACCAGGCTTTCGCTACAGAGGGCTTGAGGTTTGCATCAAGTGTACAAGCTTTCTCCAAACAGGTAATGCACTTCCGTCTGCCGGTGTTGACGGTGGCATCGTGTTTATATATTACTAAGTTACAAAGGTTTTTAAGCTCTAAAAGGTGGAATTTTGTTTAAGTTCCTAAATCATATTTCAGCTGAAAGATGATGACAAGCTTATGCTTCTCCTGGAAATAAACAAGCTAATTCCTGTGTGCCACCAATTGCAAACAATAACGAAGACACCGTTGCCGAATAAAGTGTTTCTAAAGGTAAAAGAGAGGGTGGGTTCTTCAGGTAGATACTCAGGAAACTTCCACACATCTGTTCTTATCAGGCTGACTTCCAACCACCTCCCTCGCCCAGAGTAAGGTACTCCTAATGTCCACACCAGAACACTTTTATTTCCATTTCTCATGCCTGCCTGGACTCCAGAAATCATGAATTGTGCTGCTGCGGTCATGGACATCAAGGAGTAGGAGGCTGATGAAACCCGTGAGCGTCTTGCACATAAATGTAACCTGTGAGCGCTGGGCTACAAGGTTTCAATTCCGCACAGGCAGGACTTTCATACCCTGCTTTACGGAATTTGGGCTGTGTCAGCCACATGACCTCATCTATGAACCACAGTGGGGAGATGTTACCATCTTAGAGCTAACTCATTGATACCCTTGGTGGCATGTCCCGTTTAGACCTTGATTTGTACCTGACGTTACAGGTGGACAAGTGCATCACAAAGGCGAGGTCCATGATGAGCAGCTTGATCCAGCTTCTCTCACTCTGCTGTAGACTGCTGAAGAAGGTGAGATGCGTTCTATTTCAAACTCACTTTTTAAAATCTCAGTTAGTTACAAGGACAATGCACAAGTAAATAATGGCCCAGATTTAGCAAAATCTTTTTCTTTCTTTCTTGAGAGAAGCAAAAATTGATTTTCACTCTTTCCAACTTCAGGTGGAAACCAGATGGGCCTCAGTTACGAATAAAGACACCGCGGAAGGTAAAACTTGAGAAGCTTTTGGGATCCGATCTCTGGAACTTCTTGCAGCAAACCTGACATTTTTAGAAAGAAAATGATCCTTCACAAGAATTTCAACAACTTTATTAAGGAAACAATATTTTCTTGTCAGAAAACCAATTGTGAAGCTTTTTGGTAGTTGCTGTTACTGTGTCTGCAGTGTGATTTTAGTGAGACATTGCCTCTGAGAGTGCTTTGTCAAAGCCACACCAAATATCGCCACCGTGTAGCCCAAAGATGCTTTTCTGAGTATGTTCACCTTCGACATAAGCCTACCTTAGCAGTCTCCTTTCTTTACATCCATCCTCTAGAACAGAGGTTGGCAAACTTTTGAGACTGAAGAGCCAATCCTGCCCCTCACAACAATTTAGAAGTTATTCAAGAGCCGTAAGTGTATTTTTACAAACAAATGAAATCACTATTATCTGAATAATATCACTAAATTTTTTCCATTTTACTTCGGAGCACAGGCTCTCAAGCTGCCGCGTGCCGGCCCTGCCCTACAGCACGGGTGTGCACTCGTCAACTGCAGGGCTTTCCGTACCCCTCTGCCCACCTACTGTGAAGAGGGTCCCCTGTTGCGCCTTCTGTCCGATGATGATCCCTGCTGGTGGTCCCCGTGGTCCACAGCAGGGCCCTCGAGAACCATGGGCTGTGCTGCCTGGTCCCCTGGAGGAGCTTCCCAGAGATGCCGACCTTTAGCTCGTAGCTCTAGCACAGCTGGCTGGCCTGCCCTGAATACTAGCTGGACTCCTAAGCCTATGTGACTGGCTTAAAAAAATACTTTTTGAATTTTCCCTCTAGTAGTGGTTGATGGAGTGGAAGATGCAAAAGACTGAGAACTATGGAACTAAGAAGCTGTTTAAAATAAATTCCGAGTAATCATTCATCTTATATAAGTGGTTTTGTTTTGGAATGTTCACTATAAACATGCTCCTTTAGATGTTTTCATAATGAAATGTATGGCTGTTCTTGTTACGGGGTGGGTGCTTTGAAATATCTGGTTTAGAGTTTCTTTGTCATATCATACGGTGAATTTGTTTTGGACTTCAGTTACATCATGTTTCCATGAGAGCAAGTAAAAATGTATTGCTACAAAATCATAGCCTCCTTTATTAAACAAAAATAACAAAATGTGAAGCTGTTGTTTCTTGGCATATCCTCCATCTGGATCTATATACATCTGAAGGTAGTGTTTCCATCTCTCTAACCCTTCCCTAAGGAGCTCTGATGGAGCTGTCGGATAAGTATTGGAGTGCTAACTGCAAGGTTGTCAGTTCAAACCCATCAACTGGTGGAAAAGTTAAGGTTGTCTGCATCTGTGAAGACTTACAGCCTTGGAAATCCTCTGTAGGCTCACTAAGTTAGAACTGACTTGATGGCAGTAGGCTTTGGGTTGTGGGTTTCTTTAGTAACCTTTCCCTGAAGAATTCTGCACTTCTTGAATTGTGAGCACCAAAAGAAGTCTGAAGGAACAAAGGACTGTAGGGGGATGGGAAGGCTTCTTAAGGATTCTCATAGGGCAGTCCACGACAGCCTTTGCTATCCTCAAATAAGGAACAAGTGCACTGCCTAATGGGAAACAACAACAAATCCTTGGTGCAATGTTCTAGGCTCTTGTGTATGTGAAAGGTGGACAATGAATGAGAAAAACTGCAGAAGGGGTGCCTTTGGATTACAGTGCTGGTGAAGAATACTGCCAGTACTGTGGACTGCCAACAGAACAGATTTCTTCTGGAACAAACACAACCAGAATGCTCCTTCAAGGCAAGGATGGTGGTGAGACTTTGTCTCATGCAGTTTGTACAGGTTATCTGGAGAGACCAGTCCCTGCAGAGGACATCATGCTTGGTAGTGAGTGGAAAAAGAGGAAGATCCTAAATGAGTTGGAACTGGTGTGTTTGTGATAGAGGTCACTGTGGGCTGGAGCCGACTGGACAGCACCTGGCAAGGACAAGACCCGACTGGTATAGAAGAGTGGCTCATGGGGTCCCCCTGCTGGCCTCGTGGTCAGCAGCCCAGTGCTTAACCACGACACTACCGGGACTTGAAGCAAGTAAACATCATCTCATTTCCATTTGAATTCTGTGAAGGTGTATCAAGCTGGTTCTAGTGGACTCACCTTAGAGACAGACTAGTACGTACAAGGGGCCTTTGAAACGTTCGTAGAAAATGCAGTTGAAAGACAATGAAGCCTCGTTTTTAAACCTTTAGATCCTCAAAGGGCTCAGGGATAATGCATCTACAGGTGTGTATTTTGAGTTAGTCAAGTCTACCTTGCTCATCCTCTCATTCAGCCTCGGTAATGACCTTTATGTTTAAGCAGTCAAAACTATCAGTATTATTCCCAGCAGTGTTATTTTAGAAACGGGGAAGTGTGAAGTGGCTTTATATGTAAAATAGATCATTCATTTAGCAGCTTCAGTATCTTTGTCCTAAAACAATCCCTCTTCAATAATCATTGTGATACCAAAGGGGAATGAGCCGGTTTTTAGCTTAGTGCCATCAGTGTCATGGGACGCCGGGGTGCTGTTGAGCGAGCATTAGCCCGCTAACCACAGCTGGCCCTTCAAACCCACCAGCTGCTCTGCAGGAGGCTGGCTGAGCCGCCCAGAAACCCTGCATGGGGCTGCTCTGAGTTGCAGTCCACTCCATGGCGCCTCTGACCATCAATGTAGGTGCTTTTAGAATAAATTCCCTGTCTCATGTCTCGTGGACATAGTTGGGGATAATTACACTGGCACACACCTTACAAGTATGTATTTTCTCGTTAATTAACCATTTTTATTTTGGTCTTATTGACAAATACCTTTACGTATTTGAAGAGAGTTTTCTTATGGAAAATGTTAACGTGGTAGGGTAGGAATAACGTAGAATTTCAATAGCCTAAGAACTAAAAAGAATGAACAGCATGATTTCTGTATTAAATAATTCTTTTATTTAAAAACACGTCTTTAAGTGTGCTTTTTAGCCCTTAATGAAAACTATTTTTTCTGCAATTCACTATAAATAGGTATCTTAACCTCCAGCCACAGTTGTTTTTAATATTGTGACATGATGTTCAAAGGCATCTGCCCTTCGGTGATGTGTCCTCAGGCAGGCTTTGCTGGTGATGCCGTAAGGAGAGCGCCAGACCAAAGGACTGCCAAGTTTGTGTTACAACCAGCAACCCAACATGGCACTGCGATGCTGCCACACATTGCAGAGTACTTTAAGACAGCGTTTCCCGTGTCCCTCTCGTAAGAAGTCAGCGTTTGGGGCCCCGCGTGTCAGAGGAAAGCCATCCCTGCAGCAGGGGGAGAGAAGGGGCACGCTCCACCCAGCGGGGTGAGGAGGCAAAAGGCACTGTCCCTCATGGGGTAGAATAGATTTTTTTGGTGGTGCCAGACTGAAGCAGATTGAGTTATCAAAGGCCAGCAGGTTTTTTATGTTTTAAAATCTCAAAATGATGGAGAAGAGGCAAAAACAGAACGATGCTAAAACATTCAAATGTGTCAACATGCAGTATTCTGCGTGCTAGGAAGATGGGTAAAAGAACTTTTCTTTGCCACGTGAAACTCGTGTTTGAACTTTCCCCTCATTGCATTTGGAGAAAAATAAAACCCAGAGGTCTTGGTGGTTTGTCAACTGTGAGAACAAAGACATGAAAGAAGAGAGAACTGGGTTGGGGGGGTCTGAGCTGTAGAAAACAAAGGTCGAAGCAAGGCTCCTTAGAAATGGTGGAGGGGACAGCTGGCAAACGATGGCTCAGGCTTGCCCTGCAGCAGGCTGGCGGTGGAGAAGCATGCATCCATGGGCGGTCCTTCTTCAGAGCCCTGACGGCCTCCAGCGCCATCCTCACGACGGAGCTGTAGAGGCACGAATGCGCTTCCCCACCACTTCTTCATACTGCTCTTGTGTCAGGAGCCCTTCTGTTATGCTCTTGCTTTCTTCAAATTTGGGTAAGACGACTGCAATGTAGCCTTCAGTGGATGGCTGGAAAGGAAACAGCATTCAACACTATCTTCTGATCAGAAGTACTCTAGAAGCTATAGGTGGGATCATACCTCCCCTATCCCTCCCTGGCTTCCTACCTTCTCTTGCAGAATGGACGGCTTACGGAGAATGTTTTCATTCACTTCCATCAACCGTCCTCGAACACAGCTATTTAAAACACATACATGGACGCACATGTATTAGTGAGAAAAATAAAAGGACCTCCCTCTTTCTCTTAAATTGTAGTTGAAAATAACTCACCTAGAGACAGTGTATTCTTCTCCATCTGCACAGTGAATCTTACACAGAGGTGCGAGTTCTGTTAGAAACTGTGCCCCCTGTGTAATCAAAAGGGAAATTAATTGATGCCCATGTTTAGTTTCCTGTAAGAGGCAGTCATCAGAGTTGTAACAGGTTATATCTCTGCAAAGGGTCTTCTAAATAAAAATGATCTAAGGCCATGAAAACTAAACATTGATATTGTGTGTGCTTGCTGTCTGCACGCCTGGCTACACCCGAGGCTCTCGGGAATTGAGACCTGGGACACAGTGCCCGCCCTCACAGAACCAGTCTAGTGAGAGTCAATGTGCAGTCGGTAGCTTCGTAAACTGCACAAAAACACGCTTTACCAGCTGCCAACAAAATGGTAACACAAGGCCAGGTATAAAGATTCCAAAAGCCAACAAACAATCATACATAATTCAACATGCCCAAGTATGACGGCAATGTTGGACAATGTTAAAGACTTTTGCCTTATTTGTAATTCAATAGCTAAAGGAATGCTACCAATGTCACTCAGTTTTTGAATGTTTTTCTGATGTAAAATGCACTTTGAGGAAAATGAAAGTTTTCAGGAGTAAAAGAAGAATCCTGTATCCATCCTACAAGGGAGAAGTAAGTACTCTG